CATCAGTGTGTGACCTCACCAATGCGCTTTTGGAAGAATGGTCAAAAATTCCTATAAACACACTCCTCAACCTTGTGGACAGCCTTCCCAGAAGAGTTGAAGCTGTAATAGCTGCAAAAGGTGGACCGACATCATATTGAACCCTATGGGTTAGGAATGGGATGGCACTTAAGTTCATATGTGAGTCGAGGCAGGTGACCGAATACTTTTGGTAATATAGTGTATTTTACTTACTCAGTGGAACTGGAATATAATGTGTAAAAGCAATGTTCTGCCTTTTCACTTTTGGGAGTAATAAGACTTTAAGTAAACATTATAACTTTACTTGTGCATATGATATGTGCACAATAGAAACACATTTTTAGTTCAGGAAAACATGTATTCTTCAAAACTTCATCTGAAGGCTTTTGCAAGGACACCACACATTAATTGTGGCACCTGCACAGCAGCTACAAACATTACTTACACTTGTGCATATGACCTGAGATCAACAAATGTGCATTACTGTGCATTTGAGACATTTGAAACAATTTATGACTTTTATGATGCAGGGTTGATAAATGAGGGCCCAGTTTCCTTTTCCATTCCATCAATCGAGCTCATGTGTAAAGTATAATAGGGAATGTATTATGGATGTTAGAAAGCATGCTGTACCATGCTCTGTTAAAAACATTAAAACGCAGATTTTGCAGATATGATGTTATGCTAGTGCAGATAGGAACCAGGTGGATGACCAAATCGAGGTTTTCTGTGAGACTCCAGACTGGAAGCAGATGAAGGCCGATTTGTTTAATTGGGCACTAACCAGGATCAAAGAGAAACGTGTCTGCTTTTACTCTCAGTCCAGCGAAAGGCACAGGCCACTCTTCATATTTGGACAGAGCAGAGTCTGAAATTCTCTTGATGTGATTGTGTGCATGTGTGTGGGTGTGTGTTACAGGGATTACATTGTAATCAGGCATCCTAGCAGATCTGGAAAGCTGCATGTTAACTGTCCAAGTTCTGGCTGGTAATTAGCTCTGACAAGTCCTTTCCAAGGCTTCTGTGAGAGCTACCTATGACACATACACACACACATACACACACGTACACTCTACAGGGAGCTTCCTCCAGACACCCCTCTTTCTCCAGTCCATGCCTTTGTTGCTTTCTGCTTTGAAACTGGACACATGACTGCATCACTTGCATAGGCTCACTGGTCCAATCCTGGATACACAGCATCTCAATAATAATTGTACTGAATATGGAAAAGGAAATTAATCATTTTTTAATGTAACCCAATAAAAATGCGGAAATACACGCAATTAAGATGCAGAAAATCTATTCGGTTGTGTCAATACCAGGTTTAATTATTGTTCTGTTTCAGATTAATTAACTTTATTGACTACATGCACGATTGCAAAAGCAATTAATAAGTCATTTCAAACTTAGGCAACTAAAACAAAACATGGATAGCAAGTAAGATTCCAGGGGTGGAAAATATGTAAGTAAATTTATGTTGTTATTATACTTAAGTATTATTTGTTGGTATTTATACTTGAACATTTAAAGCATCCAATCAAATTCACTGATGTAGAAAACAACTATAATGGGTTATGCCAATTCATCATCTGATGTGACTTGCTTTCTTTTTTTTTGGAGTGAAACATCTCCAGATGCTACCTAGGGCACATATTCAGTGACACATTATCTGTACTTTCACTTAAGTATAATTTCTCAGTACTTTTTCCAACTCTTGCAATGTTCTAATATGCAAATACAAAAACAGATTTTTATCATGGACACACAAATGTCAGTACTCACCTTCCAGAAGCAATCAAATAACAAATAGCAGAAAAATGAACAAACAGAAAAACAAGGACAATGCAGAAGCAATATGTACTCAATAACCATTACATAAACAGCTTTGGCTGGTTATTGTGACGTTATGGCAACACCTGGCAACAGGTTTTGTGGTGATAGTCAGATGATCCCTTTCCCAGATGATCTCGCCATATATTATCCTATTGTCTGTCCTGAATGTTACACTGTGAT